AGTTAGTTTTGGACCATGCCATGTAATGAAACTCTGCGATCACAGCACTGGATAGAGATAGTCAAGTCAGTCAGGTTTTGAAAGTATATTCTTGGTATTAAGGAGCTCATTGCGGGAAATGGGAAATTGCGGGAAACGATTGAATTGAATTAGACCAGATTGATTGTTCAAATGAAAAGAAACTGGACTTGATTAAACAACAATCTTAGTGCATGATCAGCAGACGAGTAAGGATCAAGGCAGACAGCCGCAGTAGCTTGGCTATAAGCACGACGAACTGCAGCAACAGCACTGCGATATTATGTACAGCAATTTGTATGGCACCTCTTCGTCCTTTTGTGAGAGCTTGGACAATCCACTTGTCCAGGCAAGAACTGAGGCAGCAATGCCTGTTCATTCTGGCGAAGTAAAATAGAATATACCATACCTAGTGATTGAGTACAGATGACGACGTATAAACGCTGGAATGGTGTATGTACAATGAACTGTGGCAAGGCTTTCCCTATCAATTAATAAATTCTATAAATTCTACTACTACTGACTCGGCGGAACTTTGCCTTAATTTGAAAACAAACTCTAGACTTTGAAATGAGAGATTGGGGTCACTTTCAGTATATTCAGATGTATCAGGCTGGGAAAGGCAAACATGGGGTAGTTTTGTACCATGTACAGGATTTCTATTCAGCTTTATGACTGGACTCTAGGGTTGTCATCCTCACTATTAACAAGGAGGAGGGGAATATCAAATTTAAAAAAAATCGATCACATAAGAATGATAAGATATATCATCTGAGAAGAATCATGAAGCAAGTCACCGAACGCCAAAGCCAATTTAGAAAAGACAAGATGCAGGATCCCTGAAAGGAGACCATAACATAAATATGGCATAGTGGTGTGAAGTGAGTGCGTGATTTGTAACCGTGCAGAAAGCACCAGCAGCTGGATATGAATTTGCAAGCCTTGTTTCTGTGAAAAGGCCTATGAGAGACTGTCAGGGACAGACATGAACCATGGTTGGTTTCTTGTCTCTCAGAGTCATTGGAATGCCGCACAGAAAAAACAAAACCATTTCACGGTTTTCCCGCATCCGTAGGAACGCCACCATCATCTAGGATCAAGGCGCAGATGCAGCTCCTAAGCGGTGGGAGGTGAGTAGATCAGACCCACCACGAAGAGGTCAAAGACCGAAATCCCATTAACTGCATCCGCCAAAAGTAGCATGGACATCTCAAGTTACCATTGTCATGGTTCTGCAAACTAAATGTGGGTGTGTGGAATTACCAAAACAAGTGACTGACACAACGTGTGTTGGATATAGCGTACAGCAAGGAATTTTTATCTCAGTTGTCATACTTGTTTTCTCGACTGACTCAACATGAATATGGATATTGTAGAGTGCAGGATAGGAGGAGGGCTGGGAGGGGGCGAGGGGCGAGGGGGGGGGGGGGGAGCTGTGGGACAGTGTTGTGCTTACAGTGCTGGCGTAGCGCTTCTCGGCTTCTTGCAATTGGTGGTGCACAGCACACACACGGTGATGGTGCTCTTAGTGTGCAGTGCTGAGGCAGAGAGGCTGTGGTGTTCTCATTTGGACGAGATCAAGGAGAATCAAGGCTTGGCAGCCAGCTGCACGCAATATGCCATGACTTGTATCAGGCGGCTTGAGAGGACACGGTGATGTTAGTGTACAGGACTGATGGACGCAGTCCGGAAGTGTCCTTACTTATCCGTAGTAGCCTTGGGCCAGTGGTAATACGGCCTTTCATACAGTTTGTGTACGATATCGTGGGTACACACGTCCTCCACAGTAGGAAGCACGTGCTGGTGGTCAAACAGTTGGCCCGGTAATGACCTGACCAACCGGACCGGTTCCAGTGGACCTGATGTAGCACGGATTGGCTTTACTGACGCACATCCACCAGTTGGCTGCTCAGGATGCTATGCTGGTGTTCGGCTGAACTCAACGCTTGGGCCGGACTACTTGGCATGTGCGTCTGGTTGTCTGTACAGAGCAGCGATCAGAAACACAAGGAAATACATAGACCAGTTTAGTAGGTGTTGCAATCGGCCAGGAGAATGCAGTATCTGATCATCATGCAGACATAACTCAACATGTAGTATGGGCATCACTAGACAGTCCCAGGTCACCATGGCAACAGGAAAGCAGAGCCCCAGGCTGCAGGGCCGATATTGGTCCTGATATACATGTACATGTACATGTATATCAAAATGCAGACACCTGGCTGACTACACACTTACCGAATGGTGCTGGCCACGTCTTGTTATCCATGTTCAGAAGTAAATTTGCAGTGGAGGATGTGGGGAACTGACCGGCCATGTGAACAGGCAGCGGGGATGAAACTTCGGGCATGCCGTTTCCATGGGAAGCACCGTTGGGCAAGCCATTCATGGGATAAGTCATGGCCATACTGAACTGGTTATGAGCTGCATATGGGTCGATCACGGACAGGCCTGAAGAGGTCTGAATCATACTGTACTGACTGAGCGGGTTCAGGGAGGGGTTTTCCCCTGCAATCTCCTTGTTCAGGTGGTCCGTATTGCTGGGCGATTCAGGACTCTCCGTTTGCACGAGGTTGTCCGGTGTTTGACATGGCTGGACATTATGATCTGAGAAGCCTTGAACAGTCATCATGTCTCCATGGTTCAGACCATTCACAAGTTCTGCTGCACAGAAAAGATAGTAGTAGACAAACATTTTGTCATAATAACGTAATAAAGTTGTCGTGGAGTTCCAACAGTAAACAGTTTACTAACAAACATAACAGTCAGGCTGTGGTGAGCGGGTTAGTATAGATCATCTCGTCCGAGTAGGAATCATGTGATCTTACCTTGATCGCCATTAGTTTCTTCGCTGCTGGCTTGTGGTGTGTCCAGTGGGCCCCAGTCGCGTTGGCTGAATTCAGGTGAATGTCCCATGCTGCTGATAACAGGAGTTGCTGTGGCTGTTGCCCCTGGCATCATACCTGCCATGCTGGTCAGTGCTGGCTGCGCTTGCATGTAGCTGAACACATGGCTCGGGTAGAGCGTGTGCATGGGTGGCATGTGGGACGAGGAGTTTGGCGACAACACGCCCAGGCTGTTCATGCCATTGTAGCCGTTCTGTTGCTCCGGGATGGGTACACCGTTCTGCTGGTATCGACCAGCACCGGCCTTGCCTGCTGCCATGGTGGTCATATGACCCTGTACTGGTGGTGGCCCAACATGCGAAACGAGTGAGTTGTTCGAATAGCTTCCCAGCATTGGGTCGTAAGGATGAACATAGTTATCCATCTTGCCCTCTTCACACACTGAACCTACATGTACATAGGATAGATCACACGTGATCAGGAACAATCCCATAGGGCAAGTACATTGCAAACGTCCAATCATGTGGCATCATGGCACAGTGTATGGAGATGAGAACTGTGCAGTATATATACTATATAGCCCAACAAGTTTCTTGCGATTGGTAGTTCTCAGTATGGAATTTTGAAATTGATTATAATATTTATAGTGATATCCTGACATAACGTCAGCTACACTGAGCTGAAGCAGCTTGTGAATCACCTTACCATTCAAGTGTGACATCAGCTGAGGAACTTTCTTCTGCGTTCGATTCCGTACAATTCTGTTGATGCTACTAACCGACGGGACGTTCTTCTTGTCGCACACATGTTCCGTGAGTAATTTGTCTCGGATCTCCCATGCAAACATGCTGGGATTGTTCGTCTTGTACTCCTCGATCTTTTGCACGACTGATGGTGTGGCTACCTTGGGTTTGCTGCCGCCGATCACGCCTGGTTTGATGCTACCGGTTTCATAATATCTGCAAAACAGGGTCAAAGGCAACAACCGCATAACAACAACGAAGTGTGTTAGTTCGACTGGGTAAGTAACGTTATTATTACTAGTACTATGTGCCATCAAGACTCCAGTCTCCAGGTAGAATTATGGACTCTTGATGCAGTACTATGCGTTCAGTGCCTGCATGATCTGTGATGGTGGTGGAAAACAGAACCTCCCCATCGGGTGGTCATTCTCCTCTAAGTGTTGTGCATCATGTACAGTAGGCATTCACAAAGATGTACAATGCATGTAGCTACCTTCCCTCAATCATGCCCAAAGATGTTGCTCTTTTACTATGTGAGTCTTATGTGACTCGGTATGGCCAAGGCCAAGGGGGCAGCTTGCCAGCTTCACGCCGATTACTAGTATGTAACTAATTGAATACTTCATATCAGTCATACACAAGCACTGGGTTTCAATGCTTTAGATGTTTGTTTGTTTTGATACCACTGCGCTACTGGCTACTACTGGGCATGTGAATGAGAGCTGTGTGGATTCATAGACCGCAAGTACATGTACCGGTATTTGGTAAGAGTTGCAGGCGACCTGTTGATTAGAAAGACAATGACAGCTACTGCTCTAACGGGGTCTTTCTCAGGTGCTCAAGCCACAATCACACAGGTGACGCCAGAAATGTCCAAATCCATTGGGAGTCACTCAGTGTGTTTAGTAATGTACATGACATATAGTGTGATGTGTAGTGTGTATCTATCTGATAAATCAGATGAGTAAGTGAGGGTAGACTTGGAGATTTCCAAACCATTCACCATCGCATTTTGCCGCACCGTCCCATACTGAAAGGCAAAGGCGTCCCTGACATTTGTACAAGTGCCTGTAACGTAACTCGTTACTGGAGGTGACTTAGTACCAATGTCCAGCATCACAATCATGATGTAGAAGGGTTACTCTAAGTGGGGGTGATCTACTATTGAAATCATTATCATGAGGCACCTATGCACACCATAGTCAATAGTCTTATAATGCACTACTGTACTAATGCTCGCAGTGACTCATCGCATCGACTGAAAGTGTGGTATGAACGCGTTGTCATGCGCTTTCATTCCAACCACTAACATCCATGGCCAGTTCTGTGATTACACAGTAGCACACGATACCCCAATGTCTGACCCAAGGAATGGTCGTATTCTCAGTTCAACACTACATACACTACACTGCCTGTAGACACTGCTGCCATGTGCTGCCAAGTAATAATTAGTAGTAAACGTCAAGACAGGAGAACTTCGGTGATCTTGACGTGACTGTGTCGCCATAATAATTCTGACATATTTTGGTCAGTATGAAGGAGCTCTACAGCTTTCCATTACCAGTGAAGTGTGTGCGTGTGCGTGCGTTCGTCTGTGTGTGTGCGTTCGTCTGTGTGTGTGTGTGTGTGTGTGTGTTTGTGTGTGTGTGTGTGTGTGTGTGTGTGTGTGTGTGTAGTCGAACAGGCTGTACATGCGGTGGTGTCAGTAAAGGCAGTCTTTACCACCGGACGGGATCTGACCAGATGTCCCAGCATTAAACCCGCACTCTAGCACTCTGTTCCCTGATTAGTGGCCACTTTAGACTACAGTCGACTAGTCGTTGACCACATTCACAGCTACAGTCAGTCAGTCAGTCAGTCAGTCAGTCCGTGCAATCTGCGTTGGTGCCAAGCGACATAATTATTTTCGCAATCAGTGCAGACGAAGCACTGTATCTCAGCCCCGGGGTACACACAGTGCTCTGTGTCGGACTGACTACGATTCAACGGCATCCAAGAGCGAAACAGGTACATGTATGGACGTGTTTACATGTTGGAGGAAATGATTGTGCTCAGATTCTGTTGAGCTATAACGAATCTTAGTCCGATTATTGCATCGCATTCACATGTACAATGTAGTTGTGCCGAAACTTCAACAGTACTGTGTGCCGGCTTGCGACGAAATTCAACAGGAAGGAAGAGAGGAGCAGCCAAAGCTCAGTACAATGTAGAATTCTGAATTGTGTTGCACGATGCACAGCGCTGATTGCTGGACAGAAGTCAGAACACTGCAATGTTGTGATTGCAGAAGAAGTGACGAACCCGCCGCATCAGTACACTGCATGTTCGTTGCATCTGCCTATGCACCTGCCCAGTACATCGCTGCATAATCAGTGTCCATTGTTCCGGATAAATCTGACTTGCATCCGAAGCTACATGTACCCGTAGTTCGTTGTTATGTTTTCTCCGTTCGATCCTTCTTCGTACTAAAAGTAACTTCTTGTATACCAGTACGTATCGTACATCCATACATGTACAAGTAAGATACACAGCCTACTAGTGATCCATGGACGCGATTAGTGCTGGGACTTGCTCGGAGTTGCAACAATCATTAGTAGTTCCGCTGGGAGTAGGTACTAGGGAGAGAGACACATCCGGCAGCAGGTCTAGCGTCCGATGAAGATGTAGGCATCCGCTTGTTGTGGACTACCATCAGCCCAGCGCAGGGACTGACCAACCAAAAGTAAAATGCATTGATACAACGACGTACAAGCCGTTCATCCTGTTTGCAATACACACAGTCATGTGTTACATGTATGTCTGCAGTCTGTCCAGCGCTCTGACTCCGGTATATTTCTGTCGCTGCCGCTGGGCCCTGCACTGCCTGCAGGTGTCCACTGACAGACTGTGAGCTACAGCCTACAGGCTACAGTGTCATGATGGCTGCAGCATGTTCCTGCTTGACTGGAGGGTACCGGGTGCAAGTGCTGCCCACTGCCCGCTGCCCACTGCCCACTGCGGGCCCGGGGGAAACCTGTGTATGCGTAGTTTGCTTCCCCACTTTCTCTATCAGCTATCACCGCCTGACAGCGGGGAAACAAATTGCACAGAGTGTAACATTTAAAAAGAGAACAGTACGACAATGGCAACCCTCAGTCTTCTCAGTCTTCTCAGTCTTGGTGGGGTGATCGTAGTGGTGTTTCCCTCGTGGCAGTAGGTGGCCAGCTGAAACTGTGACTGGTCTCTCTGACTTCCTGCACACTTCCGACATTTGGCCCCAAGTCCGCCCCTCGACCTCATCACCCTTGGCACACCAAAGACGGCACATGGCACACAGACCATTGGACAGGGATGTTCGCCAACTCAAGTCCCAGTATGTACAGCCAATACCAGCGTTTCTGAATGATATCTTCCTGAAAGGGTCCAGGTTCAGAACGATAATTACAATCATGATTGTATGGATAACCCCAGCACTATGACAGGATAGCTGTAATCATCACAGCTTCCAGAGATACACCGTCTGGCAGAACGCTATTGTGGCCGGATGACCATGCAGCTATTCACATGGTTCCAAACTCAACAAAAGTAGAATTGCTTACTGGTAGCGTAGGATGCTATGCACGCACAACGCATCAGTTCAACATTGTACATCTGCCTACACAATTGTAGTCAACCACTCTCACTGAGTCTCAGCACATACACTCCAGTTGGATGTGGACTGGATCACCCCATAACCAGAATTAGTTTCATTACGCTGAGCTGACCCGTGACCGTGTGCGGTGACCTCATCCTTCTCTGTTCTAACCGACATTGGCGGCAATTGGTTCAATTCCACTTTCAAAATTACGTGCACGCATGACCAAGCTCCACCAATGCCGCCGCCACATTCACAGAATTACAGTCTACTACGTCATGCGTGCTGGCTGAGGGTAGTCATGGTTCCAACTAACTTCTTGCACAGTGCCTCTAGCGTATCACGTCTACAGTCGCATACTGTGCCATTCAGATCTAATCTTGGCAACGCGTGGCGCCATGGTAGCACGGTTTGAATTTGAAACAGAGACCCACTTCAATCGGTCACGCATGGGTGAGTGCGTAAGATCGATAAGGAGGCCATTGAATCCTGAAGAAGGGGCCCTTGACGATCTGAAACAATGGAGACCACTTGACAGTAATGCGTGCTCCTCTTGCTAAGTGCCCTACATCAGTACACAGTTTAGTGTCCAGTAACGTCCAGTTTATTAGAGCTAACTAATTACTTCTCGAACACCTGGCCACTTGCAGAGGAGTCTCCCCCCCCCCCCCACACAAGCCACCACTTGCGCTGCTGCTAGCACTAGTAGTAGCAGTAGCACACATGCCCTTTTTCAAAGATAGCTACACGTACACACGACATTGACGCGGCGACTGACATCACTCCAGCCCAAGCCCAGGCCAAGGGCACGCTGTCATGCGAGAGAGCTCCACACACGCGCGCACGCACAAAATTCTAGACTTTGAACTGCTACGAAAAACTACCTTAGAGTTAGAGTTAGACTTAGAGCACCACTGCAGTCGTTACTAGGAACTGCACTGTTCTATTCCTGGAAATCTACCTTTCGCAAAGGTGGTGTTCATGTACTGTCCAAGTGACAGAGTCTACAGATCCATGTTATTACACTACCTTTTAGTCAGGACGGTCACGCACTCTCAATGCTGTAAACCCTCAACATTCAACAGGAAAAATACATCCATGTGCCATGGGAACATCATGCTCTGTGTGAAGCGTACGACTACTAGTATGTCACGAGTATTGTGCGGATAAACGACGTCCACCCACTGGCACACACAATACTAGTGTATGATTGCATGGTTCTAATGAAGTCCGAAATAGCGGAGGGCACGAGGCCACCATAGACTGTCGTCGCTGATCACGTGAGCATACTCCACAGTCTACTCTCTAGAACAACGTTTTGCCCAGAATCATTTTTTCCCCATTTCCAACACGGCAACGGGTCTGTCTATTGGGCTCCATGTTGACAGAACACGTCCTACACGCTGCACCTTACTGGCTTACGAGAACATAATCATTGCTAGCAGTCAGTGATCATAGTGATCTAGATCGACCAGCTGCCACTGCTGCCACTGCTGCCACTGGCAGAGAGTGGTGGAGAACAACACATGAGAACATGTGCGCAGAGCAAACACACCGGAACCTTGCGTAATATGGCCACCAGGACGGACAAGAAAACGCACCGGAAAAGAGCAAAGAAAGCAGCGATTGCACCCAGCAGACGACGCACACGTGCACTGTGCAGGGGCAGTGGCAAGGCCTACGCTACTACACTCTACAGTACCCTAGGCTAGCCAAGGCCAAGTTAGTTCAATAGGCCCACTGGTGAGTGATGGATGGCAGATGTGGGGAAGGAATACACCTCAGAGATACATGTGTGTGCTGACCGGGAATCCACTGAATGTCTGTACTCGCATGTACATGTGAACGTATGGTACACGCGGCGGAGACTCCAGAATAGTGCTGTGTTGAAAAGGTGAATTAGGACCGGAGATTCTACTTCCAGGACAAACAATCAATTATGTGCTGTCCACTATTCCAAGTCTAGCAATCTAAAGTGTGCCTTTGTAAGAATGAACCCATTCTTCACCTAGCGTGCACAATGTGAGGAAGGAAGGTAAGGCAGCATGAATACACTGATTATGTATCCGCAGCACGCACGCTAGTCACCACGAAGTCACTACCAGCACCAACACTAGCACCACATGTACGTTGAACACTAGCACTACATGTACGCTGAAAAGATCATTCAGGATTACACCTACTACTCCTTTGCAGAGACTAAAGTCAAGGTTGTTTTGCTCTATGAGTGGGTGTACAGTTGTGAGAGTACCATGCAAGAACATGCTGCTTGGGTGCACTGTTGCACAACATACAACATAGCACGAACACTTCTACAACTAGAACAATCATTCTACTCTTGTGTGTCTACATACCACTAGCACTATGGCCGTAGTCAAACGTCTGTCACGTATTCAGCAGCAATTTAAAGTAAAAAAACTGGCTGAACGTCTTCTGCACCTGTCGCCTGACTGCACTGCTACATCAGATGTACATGTACTGTACATAATAGTGTAGTACTCCAGTAGTGTAGCCTAGCCCAGGTAAATAACAGAAGGAACTGTTTGGAAGTGATGTCTCCCTTGTATTTGAGGAAAAAGGCTGTTTGCATTTATCATCTATATTGACAAGGTGCACCTGCCATGGAGCCAGCGTGGGGTCGCCTACTTATGTTGTGCAATAGAAATACTCCCATTGTATCTCCATATTTAGAGTCCACTGCTGGAAGTCTCATCATCCTCCACAAAGTATGCAGAGCAGGTGAAGTCCTGTTTTATGCTAACGGATCATCGGGTCCATAGCGAACTACAAGTATGTGGGGACAAGTGCAAAGAATCACATCCAATGACTCCCACAAAGATTTTCATATTTCACCCGCTGCGAACGTTAATTCTTTCATCAATTCAGCAGGGATGCTGGTCAATGTCGATGGTAATGGTTACATGTACTAGCAAGAATTATAATCCCCCCCCCCCCGGGTTATACTCTTGCTAGTACATGTCATATACATGTACATGTATATGTTACACTGCTTACCTTCCTAGTATCTTGCTGACACATCCATGAGAAACTCGCAATTGTCTGCTTATGTCACACGGCCGAACGCCATTGTGTGCCAGTTCGATGATTCTCCTGCGGATTGCATCGGGTAGCGGTCTTCCGTTTACATACACTCCGCCAAGCTGGTTGACGCCGTTTTGTCCTGAACAGAATCGAATAGTACACACATAGACAAAGCAAATGCTTAGTCCGATCTGATCACCTAGTCAAATTGAAAGACGCATAATACTGTACGTGTATTCCCAGTCAGAAACACAACTACCGGATAACCGGATATCACAATGGTGAGAGTAAGTCTGAGAATAACAGCCAGTGGAAATCTTTAGCAGAGATAGTCGGTGCAAAAGCAATGTTCAATTCGACCATTTTCGACGGCAATAGTGACGCACCCCATTCGTTCTCTGCTGTTCCGTACATGAAGGAGGACGATGATGGACACACACGCGCGCACGCAACGCCGTTGGAAGTAGGTACAGGTAGCTATGTAACGTATGTTATGTACTCTGCTGCTCTTCTCCAGGCGAGTAACTCAATGGGTTGAATTGATTGACGAAAGGTTTCCTCACGATACAACCAGCGTGACGAGCAGAGAGACCTGATGAGTATACGAATGACTTTATAAGTAGTTTGAATCTGGATATCCGAGGCCGTCTATCATCAGTCTGTATGCGAAGCTGGTCAGTTCTCCTAATACGATAATTACTTGCAATATGTGCAGCCGCTGGTGGTAAGTGACGGGCTACCGCATGAGAGGCAGTTGGAGGATATTGCAAGAACTCTCCGCACCAGTCTAGTACTAGTACTAGTATTAGCGGGCCATAGCAGTAAGCTGCCCTTGCCAGTGGAGTAACAGTGCTCTCGACTGAAGTCCTCTTTGCTCAGTGTGCTGGTGCCTCTGCGCCAGCTGTTTGCCAGAATGAGTTTTGTAGAGTAGCACCGCACGTGCTGAGCTAATCAGTATCAGCACGAACTTCAACATACACACCGCACCACACAATTCGCACACGCACACCGCGCACCCGCGCACACACTGCTGCTGCTTCGGTGGCAAAGAAGCTTGGAAGGTGGGGTAATGTGCACCTTCACTTTAGCACAGCAAACTGAGAACGACACGAACCAGCACTGACTACTCGCTGCTCACACCACTATGGCACTATCACTGTATCACTGTATCACCAAGTTACGCGCCAACAGGCAAGCAGAGGAAGTGCACGTTACTAGTCGCCGTGTACAGTGAGTATCTACAAGGCCCCAAGCGAATACTACAATTTATCTGTTACAGATCGCAGCCAATACTATTTCCTTTTAACAAAATGTTTTGTGGACTGTTCGGGTTGGAAGTGAAAGAGACGAAACAGCCTCCCTTCCTCACAGAACGCTACTCAAGCATCTAGCACACACGCACTGAAACAAGAAAGGTGTACCTGTGATGGACGTTGAGGTTATGATGTCACACATCTCCATGCCGCAGATCTCCTAGGGCTGAAAAGCTAGAGTAGAAGTATGCGCTGAGTGCACTGGAGCCGAGAGCACTGAGTGGTGTGCTGGATGACACCTTGACCTGGGCAGCACACAGGTACCCTCAAGTCTTCTCCGAGGTGAGGCGATGAAGCTGAGAATTATGAAATACTCATAAGCTAGTAGCCGTAACGCATGCACAGTTGATTGTGTCTCGATCAGCTCTAGCGGAGCGCAGAGGAGCGAGTCGAACCAAATTCTGAGCTCCACCTCGGTCTGTTCATCCATAATGTAGGGAAAAAATCAAAGGACTCCTGACTCGATCCTGGGAGAGGAAAACCAAGCGCAGCGATCATGTCGTGGCCACGGGCGTCCTCGAAAGCTAGCTGGGCCATCGACCGCGCAACTACCCACGGTAGATGGTACTGCGTAGACTCAAGAGGACCTACTTAAAAACCTCTTAGTTTACACACGCAACGGCGATCATGAGCCTAAGTTGCGTTTGAAAAGCTGTACACCCCGCGCCAGCATATAGACGAATGATGTACTCGAGCAACCGATTTGAAATCACGAAAGCGCAGATTCTCTGAAATGACTTACCCGCCAAGTCGGCCTGGTCCTCTTCCTTGGGACTGTTGGCTTCGATAGTGTTGTCCATCAAAATGTTATTTCTTTCACCTCTTACTCAGTGAGTGGTATGTCTAAATACATTGAAGTGGTCTGGGCCTAAGCTCGCTAAGTGCTGCTCGAGGAGAACACAGTGCTTGTGCACACTATTACTATCAATGATCACTAGTATTGCTACTACTAGTAATGCACTATACTGCACTACACTCCACTACTGTCACTGACCATAAACGCTAAGTCTCTAGGTTAGTGGTGCTGGAAGGACCTCCCTTCCCCAACGTCGTCAACAGACGAACATGAGTTGTCAGTGCAGGTCGTGACTGCTGCTACTGCTAGTAGGGCTAAACTGTCAAGCCGCGTCAAAGGGGGAGAGGCTAAACTTGAGGCTGAACTTGGAAATTTAATCCCAGAAGTTCACGCCGAGCACGGACGATGTTGGTGTCGTTCGTCTATCCGGCGATGACGGTAGGTAGCAACACGCATGCACACACTCTGAAATGCACCGTAAAAACACACTAACTCTATGTCAGAACGCACCAAGCGTGACAACGAGCTGAGAGTGAGAGTTAGTGAATATCACTGGGACTGTGTCAGAGTGCTGCCACTGTGCTAGTGCTAGTTCTACCTAACTAAGACAGCCATACCGCTATTACTGCGCCAACTAAGAACAGACTCAGTGGAAGGAAGGTACGCTCGCGGGTCACGCAGTGCAGTGTGTTCATGATACCGAACACTGTGCTGCCAATGCATGATGGTGGATGGGCTCAGTGGACTGGTGTAGTGTGTGCAGTGATGACTGATGTGCTGTGCGGATAGAGAGACCATGGATACCCACTGCTGCTTACCATGCTTACTAGCACATATCACTGTCACTTTATGGACAGTACAATATACAGTGTACAGTGTACAGTGTACACTGTACACTGTATGAACATGTATTATGTACATGGCCATGCCCGTAATGCCAATGGAAGAGAGAAGTGCTACGGCAGGAGCACATGCAGCAGAGTTCAGATTGGCTCCTCCTTCTCCTTGCTGGTTCCATGCAGTACACTGCACTGCAGTACACTGCACACACGTGCCAGGTGCACTCACAGCATCAGTCACATACATGTACATGGCTGTAGAGTGTAGACACTGTTGGACGGATGTGGACACTGGCAGCAGCAGGCTTTGAGGGCTGGTTCGGCCAGTCAGTAGCGTCCTGATGGCCCCGTGCCAGCGCGTCAGCAACTGCTGTAGCCCTACACGACTCCACTTTTGGACATCGTGTTGTTTCTGTGGCCTGCGTGCATCATTGTCCTGGGTCACGTGAGCCCGTCCCGAGCATCATCGGTGCATTTACGTAACCCATACTCCGGCCATACTGGCCCATAGCCGTACCCATGATCACTGGTCACTGGAACTGGGACTGATCTGAGGGCAGTGAGGGAGTACGACTGGGGGATGGGACCAGGGCACGTAGCAGGGTTGGGATCTCCGGAGGTTGAGACCCTCACACATACAGCCATTACAGGTATGGTACACGCTGCACATCATTGATCTTGGCAGCATAGATACCAAAGGGCATTGAGCGGATGAAACGCGTATCTTGACGGCGGGGAACACAGCGATGCCGCTTTCTGCAGCAGCGTCCCGTTCAACTGATCATCCCTGTGTTGCAGTACCACCATGCTGCTTGTCCCTGTGTTGCAGCGCGATCAGGCTGCTTGTCGCTGGAAGATGGCGGTCATTACGACCGGCCTCACAGCCGGCGACGTTTGTCACCAAGTCACATTCACTTCAACTCGTGAATGCCTAATCCTAGGCAAATGTTACCATCGGGCATTGATTTCGCAGTGGTGCTGGTGTTTGTTGTGCTGAGCCGCGACATGGCCTTGGCCGGAGTGGCTTGCCGCAAAGCAGAGCTCTGTACAGCTGTAGTTGCAGGAGCTAGACATTGCATTATTGTTGTATAGAGAGCGTCTACTCGTCATGTAACACATGCATACTAATGTATTAAAGTGTAAGGAGATGTTTGACTTAGAACTGACTGGACTAAGTGCGCTACATGTACATGTACATCACAGTGCCAGTAGCATCAGAAACAACATGCACTTGAGTGGACTTCCGAGATGGACCCTCTTACTGAGTCTATAGTTTATCTAGCTGGTTTTCATCAGTCGGTTCTATTCAAGGGCAGCAGCACACCACCTGCCCCACATGCACAGACGCACCGTGACTTGTAATGTAATGCCTAACTAATGGCCAATACACACACAGACACACACACACAGACAGTGTACAAACTTACACAAGGGTCACGAGAGGAGGCATTCAGGGTGAAGATGACGAAGAAGAGACGTTTGTGCGTTTACACTGTGTCCGTGGGTGTTGCATTCACAATTAGTGCACATGTTTCTTGAAAGTTGCAGCTCCTACACGTTTCATTTCGTGACTCGTTTGGTTGCTGAGCAAATGCACAAGTAATGTTAGTCTATGTGTACTAATGTATATTGTGCTAACTGTTAGGTTTAAACAAACACTCGTGTCGGAGGGTCCATGCATGTGACGTCATGCTTGTAGTGACTGGGCTTGAATGTCCAAAGTGCAATTGACAATGCCAAAATGTGTGTTTTCAAGTTTCCACGGTCACAATGTCAGGCTTTGTGACGAAGCGCTGTACGTCCCCCTTTCGACTTCAATGTCTCACTCTGTCATCACCATAATCCTCCATGCGTAGCTTTCCCAAGCAGCACAGCATGAAGAGAAGTTAGTTCTGAGTGTTGGTCATTGCTTGTTGCTGTGAATTGCAGATAACAGTAAGCATCGAGAATAGAAAACCACGGGAAGTTAGCAACTTACCTTGGAGTCACGTTAGCAACTTACCTTGGAGTCACGTTACCAATTCCTAGTGATGCATATAAAGTGAAAGCTTGGATATCTAAAGTCAGAATCTCTATTCTCTACCTGTCACAGGATCTTGGTTGCTAGTGCTAGCCGCGGTATTGTGTTAGCGGCGTGTCTGCGTGTACTGTATAACGTGATGTGTCCCAGTATGTCTCAAAGCTGCTAACGCTCATCACACGTTCTGAGCGTCATGCTCAGATTGTGGCATAGTGTAGGGGGAGTAGACTAGACACGCGTGTGTGTGTGTGATGAGGCATTAGAATGATGCTAACAGGAGGGGGGGGGGGGGGAGTCAAGGCGAAAACGTAACACTTTGCTGCATCGTCCTGGCATTAGAAAGGCAGTAGGAACGGGTCGCGTCATGCTCCACCAGTCACCATTGTGCCAGTCGGTGAGGGAACACTAAGGCCGCTAGGTAAAACGTTATTTTCTGCTTGTTCTGTGCACCGTATCGAGCTGAACCCTGACAACGCCTGACTATGCCTGCTCGATCACTCTACACAACTTGTATAGTTGTAGTATCAGACCTTGGGAACAGTACTATCACTAACTAATAGTTGTCGGCGTCAACTACACTGATAAGTCGCAGTTGCAATGCCAATGCTGGCACAAAAGGTATCACGAGCACAAGTCACAAAACCCCTGTCACCGCTTGGTTGCGCTCCATAAGAAGTGCGGGACGACGAACACGTTTGGGACGATGATGCCGGGCGGTACAAGAGCAGCAGCAGCGTCCCTCCTTGCAATCTCAACCTCTGCTCATGCTTCTAACTCCAAAAACGAAGCAGTGAAGTTGTCTATTGGAGACATTTCGTCTCATGACTTCATCCTTGTTAGAGAGAGGTGGATAAATTTCAGTGGATAAATTTCACGTAAATGCTGCTGTCTGATGATGGCTGAAATGCATGAAACATTACTGGTACAGCTACACAGCCTTTCGCCTCTGTTGCGTGTGTACATTTCACTTTAAAAATGTAGCACAAGTCGGAGGTGAAGAGATGTTTGGAAATTGGCACAATCTTATCCACAAGATAATCATGATACTCGTATTGCCTTGCACACGCCGTCATCATGTACAATAATGTAGAGTAGAGACTGTAACGGTGAAAGATCCAGACGGTAGGATCGTGTCAGCATCTACATGTATCCACGAACATGCTGCAAACATGTTCCATTTCCGCGTTGCAGCATTTAACCATCACCAATGATTAATCGCTAATCTGCTCTTGTTGTGTTATGTAGTGTAGGTCAAAGGAGGAGCAGGAGAAGTAACACAGATGCTGCGACATATCACCGCAGTGACCGAGTCGGTCTTGTGACCTGTGACCAATAGCAACGGTGAATACAATCACGTACATGTACTTGCACAGATACACTGTACTGTCTGTATATACATGTAGTCTGCTCCGTCCGGCTATGACTAATCATGCC